AATGTCAACATGAAACGGCTTGGGATTCGTTTTAAAAACGACTCGTTTCAATGATTCAGGGTCGACTCTTTCTTTTGAGAGACAATAACTTTATACAGGGTGCACTTTCAGATTTATAACTTTGCAGGATGTTTTCATTCACTTAGAGCTGTGTTACACACTGCATGAAAGGTAATTTTCAAAAATCCATAATAGGGGCACTTTAAGACAGCTAAGACCAGCAAACCAGCTTGGGTTGGTTTTAGTGGGTCTTTTCAGCTAAGAGGGAAACTATTAATGTGCAAAAACATACATAGCCCACATAAATATATTGGTTAAATAAGACATGGAAAAAAGATATGGTCAATATGAATGGAAAAAAATGAGATGAGAGGATAAATGATTCACTCACAAGAACGTGAAAGCATTCCTCCAAGAAAATGTTGTATTCTGTTTCAAAAACTGGTGATGTAAATAATATGAGGTGGGAGGAAAAACTATATTTCATTACTTTTGTATTTTCTTGCAAAAGGTTTGTGTTCCCCTGAGAAACTTTTGCGAACGAATACAAAACTGGTAATGGAAATGATAGAAAGCTCTATTTCAAACTTTTGTGAGCAAACACAAGGTTTCTTGTGGGAAAGCAGAAGCTTTGAGAATGAATGAAACGTTTCTCAGGGGGAATTTAAAAGTTTTGTGTACGAATGCAAAGTTTTTAGAACAAATGGAAAGTTTCTCAGGGAAAAACGGAACGGAAAAGAATGCAAAATCGTTAAAATGTCATTTTTCTATCTTATTTTTTCCATCATTATGTCCCTTTATGGGCTCTGTATGAATTAAATATAGCTATTTATAATCCAAAATGGTGGTAAAATTTTGAGATATATGCATTCTGGGATTACATTCACCTTGATTAATACATGCAATGCTGCTTTTGAATTTGGCCAGAACTCTGAATAATTATGATACAGACGTTGCATCCATAATGCACCTATGATGCCTTAAAGTACTGTCTAGGTAGGCTGCTCACTAGGTTTTGGAACACAGTTACTGAGTCCTGTCAGCAGGAAGGTCAACATGAGTCATTTGCGTTGGGTAAAATGCAAATGTTGAACAAACACATCTAATTCAGCGTTCTCATGACCTCAGATGCCATAAGACCTTTGGTTCACTAGTGTTGTAACTCAGAAGGTCAAGTCATACAGGGTCGAAGATCTGCTGTGACTGATTGGCTGCCATTAAAGATGTTTTGCTTGGTTGGTTTAGGTGTATGTGTGTGTTTTTGTGTGCTTGCGTATGTGTGTGACCATGTGATAGAACATTAATGACCTCATTACTCTCCAAAGTGATGGGTCTGTCGAAATGTCCTCGCTCTACCCTGTAATTTCCAGTTCTTCTCTGCGTCATTAACCACTTCAGCTAGCACTTCTCTCAGACAGCAGCTGATTGTATAGTCCAGCTGTAGGCACGTAGCTCTCATCCTTGCTCTGTACCTGACCAAATGAAAGAGGGCTTTGTCGCCTGTTGCGCTCAATTGCCCACATTTATCATCTCTTGCTTGATGACGTGTTCCTTAATTTACATTTTATATTTAAATTAGACAATTTTGGTGTCTGTATCAAATTAAATTGACAAAAGTGATGTCTACTTTACATAAATGTCTACTTTACAAAAGTGTCTACTATAATGTTTCAAATAACTTTTGTAAAAAAAAAAATATAATAAAAAGTCCAAATATGGGGGTATATATATATTTATGTAAAAAAATTAAACAACACTTATTCTGACCTGTACTTTTTAAAAATATATAAAAGAGTAAGTGATAATACTAAATTTGATTATATTTTAAATGACACAGTGAGTTTTTGGGTGCTGCACAAGATTTTTTGGGTATATAAAATATTGTTACACTGAGTGACATTTTAGTGGTTGTCTCCTGTAAATCATGGTAAAAATATATGATAGTCATAAATGTTTGCTTTAGAAAATACATATATTTTTGCTTACATAATTATTTTTTTCTTACATAAAAAATTAAATATTACACAATTAAAATGTTATTTATTTATTTATATATGCAGTACAAGAGCAAGAGCTGTAAACCAAGCAAAACTCCTGAAGACCCCAAACCTTGATGTGGTCCATATACCAATAGAGGGAATTTCGTATGTTCTGTGATCATTATTTTCTCATCCTCCTAATGAAATGAATGTCACATTACAGGGATCCGATGACGAATGTGGTAGTGTACAGCTGGTAAAAACCAGGGAGCTAAATGTTATTGCATCGGAGGGTCGGAATTTGGCTTTAGGCAGCTGTAGGCAGGATTTTACAGTCCTGTGACTCTACCAGTGAATTCCCACTAATTTAAAGCATTCGATGCACAAGACGTTAACATTAGGTCTTTTGTCATCGCTGTTGGCTCGTGACGCTAACGTCTTGTCTCATGGTCCCATCTCTCCATCCGGATATTCACATTCATATTTATTTTTGGGTTTTTAATTAATGCTTGTATCCCAGATGACAGGCAGGCATGCTTTTATGCTGATTTGATTGATTTCTGGCAGGAAATTTGATTCACATGATCTATGTTTGTTTAAAGAGCACATCTTTTATGATGTCACTACATTGCAGTGTCATTTGTTTATTTGAATGACTGCTGTTAGGAGGGGTTTGTAATGAGTTGTGGCAGGAGCTAGCATGCAGTGTGATGAAATACTTCTGTAAATTTCATTATGTTGATCATTATTAACTCTTTGTTTTTCTGATGTGTTAGTCTTGCTCCAGTGTGGATTGCTGGACTCTAACGTGTAACGTTGGCCTGCTGGAGCGAGGGACTAGTGCCATACTGCATGTTCGCTCGCGAATCTGGGCTGAAGCGTTCATGGAGGTGAGTGGAATACCTTGATGCCAAAGCCGTCTTCTCTAGATTATTACTAATACTGCTATAAAAGCAAAGCGTGGCATGTACAAGCTTTCATACAGCCGAATTTCAGAATCCAAAGTCTTAAAAAAAAAAAAAGCGTGTCCACAATTACACTGATTAAATATCCAAGTTTTTAATGTAAAGTCTGGCTGTGTGTGGTATGGTCACTAATAAGTGAACTAACAGAGTTTGTGAGTGTCTGTTCATGTATGTTCAAGCCTGTCAGATGATATCTCCGAACAGGAGCTCTTTTGAGAGACGCTTTACATGCTCTCTGCAGTTCTAGCCAATACAAAGCTTATAAGTGAGTGCATTGAAAATACATTAGGAGGAGAAATCCTGAGAGCTCAGCGGATTGGAATGTCAGAGGGGTTTTGTGAGAAGCAAAGCCAGACTGAAACACTGGGATTCAGTGAAACAATACTGCCCCTATCTGGAGGCATATGGGATTGTTACATTGAAAGCTCAATTCAGTTCAGAACCACCAGTCACATTCAAATGAATTCACATAATGTTAGATTTTTAATTCTCTTGATGATGTTCTAAATGTGTTTTTTTTTATGCTTTATTGCAGAATCCTTATAAAAACTTCAATCTGGAGTGCCTTGCTAGTTACAAAGTGGAAAAGATGCCATATGCCATTTTGCCCAAAGTGACTCCTAGTGGTGCTAAAAAGGTAAATTTACTCATCCAATCTAATTCATGTTCATCGATAGACATCATATATTTGGTTCATATTAGTTAAATGATCCACTGATCTTCATCTTCTGTCTGTTACCTGTAGATGGTCACTCCTGTGGTCTGGAATAAGCCAGACAGTACGTATGCTGTTCCTCTGTGGATCATCATTCTGGCTATTCTGGCTGGTCTTCTACTGCTTGCACTGCTGATCTACGTCCTCTACAAGGTCAGCGTCTGCCGTTTTGATTTCTAGTTGGGCTTGATCATTTAGTTTGACTAGCTAATCGTAAACAAATTATTTTCCTTTGTAGACAGACAGGCATGCAACCAATAGTAAAGTAATAAAAAAAAACTTCCAACTAATCATAATGAATATGTACTTTGGCAAACACTTTATTTTAAATGTACTTACTATTATAATAACAATAAATTATGCACAATTACATGCAAGTAACCCTAAGCCAACCCCTAATCCTAACCCTAACCATATAGTAAGTGCATGTAGTTAATTAACATTACTCAGTACTTAAATGTATAATTACACTGTAACAAGGACACCTTAAAATAAAGTGTAACCTGTACTTTTTTTAATGGGATTAATTTATAATTAGAACTAAACCTTATCCTAGAAGTAGCTTGTTACTAATTGTAAACTAACTCTTATCTATTATTGCCAGGCTAGGCAATTAACCTATTGATCATTAACAAAATCCTAATCTTTTTAAGTATTGTAAACTAATACTTATGCTTCTTAAACGAATGAATCGCAAACAAATGATTATTCTTTGTAGGCCGGCAAGCTACTAACTAATTGTAAACTAAATATTACGCTTCACATAAATTATGCTTGCATATTATAAGTCATCATAACCTAAATCTTTTTATTAGTCAGACCATGTTAACTGAAGGTAAATAAATATTTCATAGTGGGACTAAATTATGAACTATTCATAAAGTAAATTGTATCCCTCATAGGTAGGCTAGCTTGGTACTTATTGTAAAATAATCCTTATCTATTGTTGTCCGAATAGTTATCTTTTGTAGTTGGGTCAGCTTTTAACTAAACTAATTCTTATCCTTTCAAATTCTTAATCTTTTTAGTCTGACTAGTAACTAATTGTAAACTAACTCTTATCCTTTATATTCGGCAAAAACGTGTAACTAATAATAACCTAAATCTTTTTTTTAATCAGACCATCTCGTATCTAATCATAAATACATTGTTACTAATTGTAAACTAATTCTTATCTACTGTAGTCAGACTAGTTATCTTTTTTTTTACAGTCAGGCTAGCTTGTAACTTATCGTAAACCAATACTTATCCTTCTTAGAGACTACTTTGTAGCTAATTATAAACTAATTCTTTTTTTTGTTGTTGTTGTTGTCTGGTTAATTTACAACTAAGCATAAACAAATTCTTATCAGTTGTAGTTGGACTAGTTTGTAAGTAAATGTGAACAACTTCTTATCCTTCTTTGTTCAGCTAGGTAGAGTAGTTGTAAATGAGTCCTTTTCTTCACCATAATTTGATCTCCTTCTCTTCTTGATTCCTGTAGCTCGGCTTCTTCAAGAGAACTCCATACGGCACGGCCATGGAAAAAGCCCAGCTCAAACCTCAGGCTGCATCCGAGGCCTAAACTACACAAGAGAGCATTCAGAAAACACGTCCCAGAGAATGTTCTTAACCAGAGGCCATCCAAAGAGAGCTTACTTGCTGTTTAAAAAAAAAAAAAAGAAAAGACAAAGACTAGACTGCAGTAAAGGAATACGGAGGAAAGATCACTGGATCTTCACTGTACTGCACTAGATCATGAGACCCTGAGGACTTAAAGCCAAATGAATGTTGACATTGTTTATTTTATATTATTGTTTTTCCTTGATGTGGGTTTCCATTTTTAACCACCACTTATAGCCTACCACTCACAAACAGATCTTAACCAAAACTCAGGATCACTTGCCTCACCTGGCAACCTGCTAACGGAGAAAATGAGACAAAATCTTGCCTAAGGCCGACACGATCTGCACTAATATTAAGAGTAACATTTATTATGTTTGAATTTGTAACAATTTCATTTAGTTTTTTGGTCTTAGTCCGCAACTGTTCATGTGTTTCAGATGGTTAAACAGCATCTGCAGTGTAGCATTTTACATTTTTAAAGTTAAACACACACGTTTGCACCAAAAAAAACTTCTATGCAGTATTTCACAACCAACCAAAGATATTGATACAGGTTTTGCTCATTAATTATGTTTTGAAAGTGAGAATGAGGTAGTTTGATACCTCACCATGGACCCTCATCTCCAGTTTCCTGCTGTCTTTTTTTCTTTTTATGAAGATGTTTTAAATGTTTTTTGTTTGTTTTTTATTTCCATTGGAATGGGTTTTGACTTCAAATCAGCTCAGTCTCCTCTGTATCTTCTGAAAAAAGCAAGCCAGGTTGGTTTTGCTCTCAGGTGATGCCGCGGAAAGGATCGAGTGACTCATTTCCGCGGAAAACATTGTCAGGATCCTTCGCGGAAGGCGACCGTTCTTCCCTACTGAATGTCAGCTGTTTCCGTCCTGTTATCGTAGTAGTAACAAGCGACAACGTTGCCTTAAAAGTCATCTGGGACTCAACTGGATCCACGCCGAGCCTGTGAAACCTCGCCGATGCCTTGAAGCAGAGCTGTGCTTTGCCGTTACGCTAACAGACTCTTGGGCCAAAGAGCGGAAGGGTCGTCCCTCCAAACTTCTGTGGGAGAACGGAGAATCACTGTGGACTTGGAAGGAGATTTGAAAGCAAACCTCTTCCAAGGCAGCAGGCCTCATCCAGGGACTGAATGTTGAAAAACACCTGTATACTTTTTGTTTTGTCTTTTTTTGTATGCGTGTCTTTGTGATCATCCGCTTGTGTGCATTTGGATGTGAGTTTTTTGTTTTGTTTTTGTTTTTATGGAGTGCCACAGTCAGTGTAGAAATGCCTCCGTACATCATGGTGCTGAAGTGGCCAAATCAGACAGGAAATAACTACAATCACCCATCGTGAAACTCCCGTTTCAGCGAGCCACCTAGAAAGGGAAAGCAGCTGGAACTGTGGGATGTGTAGGAATCTGTATGGAAGTGCAATATTGTTGTATGTTTTTTTTTTTTTTCAACTTGTTTTGTCATGTGCATATTAATACTATATTTTAGTGAAGTTCTCAGAAATAAGGAGTATTTGAAGACAACACCCAGTTTGAGGGTTGAAATTAGCCCAGATGATCAGAAATGTGACTCAACTACCAAAAAGGTCCAGATTTTTTAATGATATAAAGTGTGATTGTACCATAAAAGTTCAGTTTTTAATCACCAATAGTCATTTGTCAAATCTAAACATCATGTCATTTAAGACATATTTTGTCTGTGAGGGTTTTACTAACCAAACCGGGTTGTTTGAATTGGTACAAAACCAAATAACTGACACATAGACTCCACTTGAATCCTTAGTAATGTTTTGAATCTCTTTTGTACATTATCAAAAATTATTTATTCCTCCAAAAGTTCGATTTTTGTATTTTAAGCGGGAGGAAACACTGGGTATGTCTTCATTTTTGTTTGTTTTTAAAAACTGCCCCAAATCCCCGTTTGTGTTTTTGTTTTAAGTTGTAAATATGTTTGGTGAGGAGATTATTTTAATTTTCAGCTGATACTGATTTGACGTATTTCATCGCCCCATATTGGGGAGAATCAGAGGAATGTTCAAGTAATTATTTGTATTTACAGTTTGCATTTTAAAATAAATCTTTCAGTTTTTTTTTTTTTTTTACAACTTCTGGTTGACCTGTTTTCCTTTTTAGATCATTTAGCATGCTTATGAAAAATTATTTCAAGGGGGAAAAAAAAGGAATATAAGAGATACTAAGTAGATAAATAATTTTAAACAAACAAAAAAAGCACCATGTTCAATAATTTATTTATATAAAAATAAACACTTAAGATATATACAAGTATATAAGTATAAGATATATACTTTTATATATAATTTCTACAAAACTGTGCTCTCTTCATAGTACTGGTTTAGCCTAGTGGTATTCAGCTTTTATATACAGCAGCTAGTAATAATCTGTACAATCAGTTGTTCTCCAGTGCTTGCTCACAATGAAATTCAAAGGTTAATATTCAAAGCAGGCCATAATACTGTTGAATAAGGAATAAATGCTGACAGACCGTAGATTTACTGAAAAATCACTGCATCTATGTGCATTCATTTTCAATAATTCAATGGTCCAGACTCAACTGTCAGTCAAAATGTCTATATAATGTTTATTTACGGAGACATTGTTCTAAAATGACTTCATTACACAACATCATGCTTCTAAAAGCAGCCCAAGCCAGCGTTGCTAGTTCAGAAACAACGTGGCGAAGTGATACAGAACTGTAATCAGAATCAACATTGCCATGGTATACATTTTTTATAAATAACAGTTAATGCCAGCAGCACTAAAGTGAAATTCTTTGCTCATGGTGTAGTTTGTCAGATACGGCACATATTAGTCACAGCAGTCAGATCAGAACACTTCTGATAAGGCATCAAAAGGAAATTGTCACTTGTCAGCGTTTTCCCAGCCAATGCTCTGCACAGTCCACGCAGCACTGACTGAATTGCTGAATTTACACCAATTAACCACACATAGGGTGATCATGGATTCCATCAGTCGCTTTTGTTCTCCAATATGGAGCAGGACGGGCTAAAGAAAGGCAGTTTTGCGGCGTCTCAGCGCTCTATGGCTCTGGAGAGCTGAGTTAGTTTCTTCTGATTGTCGATCACTTTGAGGTTCTGGATGTACTGTCTTATGTTGGCTGCATTGCGCAGGGTCAGGGACTGGTCTGAATCTGCGAGATATGAGAGAGAAATCAATGCTGAATTGCAACGACAGCCTCGTGCTGATTTACTCCACTATGTTTTTGCATTATATTGAGGAAAAAGAAAGAACAACATACATGTTGATAGTCGGATAGCTTGGGCATCCAAGAACATTCTCTCTGTCAAGCCTTTCTGTGGAGATGAAGGCACTGCAAAAGCACAGAAGAGGATAGAATATTGCTGAATTCAATTTGTTCAGACTGAATGAACAAGGTGAAAATGAAATTCTACAGTGTTAAACACTATAATCCAGACCACTAGGGGGAGCCATACCGTAAGGTTGACTTCGACACTCTCGAACTGTCTTCACCGTTCTGGCAATCATTCGCTAAAAATGAGGTAAAAAGCACATATTGAATATTTTTCTATGATATAGAGTTTCAATTTAATGCAACATTTAAACTGAAAGCAATACTCTCACCATTTTCTCAAAGTTGACCAGTTTATCAGTGTAGTTCTTGTTTCCCTCATGGATAAATGTCATATCTACACAGGCAAATTATTAAGTTGATTAAACTTATATTCGCTAAATAATCGTGGCATAAATAATAAATAATGTCAACTGGATCAGTAGTAAACTGCACCTTTAAGCAGTAGAGGCATGAAGGGAATGTATGGAGGGCTGAGTTTGGCTACAGTCAGTCTATAGGCCCTGTGGTTGCGGGATGGATCCTATAACAAAGAGGTGATTACTTTTCATATAGTACCTAGACATGACAAATCCTTGTAAAGAGTGTGCAAATATTTGATCTTACCATCAGTCTTTCATATGCACAGTAGATCCTCTTGGTTTTGTTTGGAAGTCTCTGTCAAGTCAAGTCAAATTTATTTGTTTACACACTGTTTTGAAGCAGCTTTACAGAAAATCATGATGTTAAATGAAGAGTTAACCCAAACATGTGTATTAATCTAGACTGGCTTTGAAGTTAAAACATCATGGATAAATGTCATATCTACACAGGCAAATTATTAAGTTGATTAAACTTATATTCGCTAAATAATCGTGGCATAAATAATAAATAATGTCAACTGGATCAGTAGTAAACTGCACCTTTAAGCAGTAGAGGCATGAAGGGAATGTATGGAGGGCTGAGTTTGGCTACAGTCAGTCTATAGGCCCTGTGGTTGCGGGATGGATCCTATAACAAAGAGGTGATTACTTTTCATATAGTACCTAGACATGACAAATCCTTGTAAAGAGTGTGCAAATATTTGATCTTACCATCAGTCTTTCATATGCACAGTAGATCCTCTTGGTTTTGTTTGGAAGTCTCTGTCAAGTCAAGTCAAATGTATTTGTTTACACACTGTTTTGAAGCAGCTTTACAGAAAATCATGATGTTAAATGAAGAGTTAACCCAAACATGTGTATTAATCTAGACTGGCTTTGAAGTTAAAACACCTTAATGATTGTTTTTTTTGTTTTTTTTTCAATCATGCAGCATTTCACATTATTATAGTGGTGTTTTTATCAGCTTTTTGGACTCTCATTCTGACGGCACCCATTCACTGCAGAGGATCCATTGGTGAGCCAGTGATATACTTCTAAATTTAACAAATTTCAGTCTGTTCTGATGAAGAAACAAACTAATCTACATTGTGACGGCCTTTGGGTGAGTACATTTAAAGCAAATTTTCATTTTTGGGTTAACTATAATGTTTATAATATCTTCATGCCTTATAGTCACATTTAGCGGATTAGAGCTGGCCGATGATATAGTTTACATTTTGTGACGATACAAGCAATCAAGCAGATGAGATTTGTTATATACCGGTAGTATATGGATAAAGTTGGACATACTTATATATGCAGAGCTGTGCGATAATATAGTTATATTTTGCAACAAAGTTAATGT